CACACTCACACACACACACTCACACACTCACAGACACACACTGACACACACTCACAGACTCACACACACATACTCACACACTCACAGACACACACTGACACACACACTGACACACACTCACACACACACAGACACACACACACACACACACACACACACACACACACACACACACACACACACACACACACACACACACACACACACACACACACTCACACACACACACTGACACATACTCACACACTCACTGACACACACACTCACAGACACATACTCACACACTCACAGACACACACTGACACATACTCACACACTCACTGACACACACACTCACAGACTCACACATTTACACACAATCACAGACACACACTCACACACTCACAGACACACACACACACTCACAGACACATACTCACATACTCACACACACACTGACACACACACACACACACAGACACACACACTCACAGACACACACACATACTACACACTCACACACACACACTCCACAGACACACACTCACACAGACACACACACACACACACTGACACACACACTGACACACACACACCCACTGACACACACTCACTGACACACACACACACTCACACTGACACATAGCTACTCACACACTCACTGACACACACACTCACAGACACATACCTCACACTTACACACACACACACTCACACACTCACAGACACATACTCACACACTTACAGACACACACAGACACACACTCACAGACACACACTCACACACACTGACACACACATACTCACACACTCTCAGACACATACTCACACACTCACAGACACACGCACTCACACTCACAGACACACACTCACACACACAGACACACACTCACACACACATACTCACACACACATACTCACACACTCTCAGACACATACTCACACACTCACAGACACACACTCACACACTCACAGACACACACTCACAGACACACACACGCACACTGACACACACACACTGACACATACTCACACACTCACAGACACACACAAATTATTATATTTTTTTTTTTTTTTTAAATGTCCACCCAGCCTCCTACCTGGAGTGCTGGTGGACTTGTCCCTGGGGTCCAGTGGGGGCAGGCGCCTCTCTGCAGCTTAGCGCGCGGCGAGGGAGCTCTCTGCTCTCTGCTTCCTCTCGCCGCGCGGGCTGTCTGCTCGAGCTGGGAGCCGGAATATGACGTCATATTCCGGCTCCCGGCATCAGCGCGCGGCGAGAGGAAGCAGAGAGCAGAGAGCTCCCTCGCCGCGGCTGAGCTGCAGGGTGGGGGGGGAATCATCACCTCTTGCCCTCCCATGACAGGGGCAAGAGGTGAAACAGGGGGCACTGAGTGCCTGCAGGAACAGCGTTCCTGCTCAAAAAAAGTGCAGGAACGCTGTTCCTGCAGGACTCAAACCATAGGCGTGCGCACGGGGATTAGGGTGTGCCCAGGCACACCCGGCACACCCCGTGCGCACGCCTATGACCATAGGGTCTCAAAGGCAACGTAACCAATCTGGCAAATTTTAATGTGAAAAAAATGAAACGCAAGCCTTATATTTGACGCTGTAACGTTTGAAAACACCATAAAACCTGTACATGAGGGATACTGTTGTACTCGGGAGACTTCGCTGAACACAAATATTTGTGTTTCAAAACAGTAAAAAGCATTGCAGCAATAATATCGTCCAAAAGTGCTGTTTGTGCATGAAAAATGCAAAAAGTCATTTTTACTGGCGATATCATCGTTGTAATACATTTTACTGTTTTGAAACACTAATATTTGTGTTCAGCGAAGTCTCCTGAGTCGTGATGTCGCGAACATAAAATTTTCGGTTCACAAACGGCGAACGCGAACTTCTGCAAATGTTCGCGAACGGGCGAACCGGGCGAACCGCCATAGGCAGTCGAATTTTAAAACCCACAGGGACTCTTTCTGGCCACAATAGTGATGGAAAAGTTGTTTCAAGGGGACTAACACCTGGACTGTGGCATGCCGGAGGGGTATCCATGGCAAAACTCCCATGGAAAATTACATAATTGATGCAGAGTCTGGTTTTAATCCATAAAGGGCATAAATCACCTAACATTCCTAAATTGTTTGGAATAACGTGCTTTAAAACATCAGGTATGATGTTGTATCGATCAGGTAGTGTAAGGGTTACGCCCGCTTCACAGTGACAGACCAAACTCCTCGTTTAACGCACCGCAAACAGAGGCGGCTCTCTAATTAGGCGGTTTAGGCGGCCGCCTAAACCACCTTATGGCAGACTATGTCATGTCCTCGGTCAGTGACCGAGGACCTGACAGCAGGAGGGGGCCCGGCGGCTTGCCCGGTAGGCCGCCGGGTGCAAGGCCCCTCCTGGCTGCCCGGCCACCATCGCAGACACAGGTCTGCAGCTCCGCAGTGAGCAGAGCTGCAGACCATGTGTCTCGCCAGAATTGGCCAATCAGAGCATTGCCGTGGGTTACCACGGCAACGCTCTGATGGTCTCGCGATATTACATGGTCTGGAGCTCTGCAGAGCTGCAGACCGGAAAGAAGTGGCCACTGGACCACCAGGGAAGAGAAGGTAGGCTCCCTCACCACCTTTAGCCTCCCCCCACCAGCCTCCCCACCCCCTCACCACCCTCAGCCTTCCACCCACCAGCCTCACCACCCTCAGCCTCCCCCCACCAGTCTCCCCACCCCCCCACCAGCCTCACCACCCTCCCAGCCTCCACCACCAGCCTCCCCTCACCAGCCTCCCCCGCCACCAGCCTCACCACCCTCAGCCCCTCACACCACCCGCCAGCCTTCCACCCACCAGCCTCCACCACCCTCCAGCCTCACCACCATGACCTTCCCACCCCCCACCAGCCTCACCACCCTCAGCCTCCCACCTGCCCTCAGCCTTCCCACCCCACACCAGCCTCCACCATCCCCCAGCCTCCCCCCCCCTCAGCCCCCACCCCCCACCCCCACCAGCCTCACCACCACCCTCAGCCTTCCCAAATCCCCACCAGCCTCACCACCACCCTCAGCCTTCCCAACCCCCCACCAGCCTCACCACCACCCTCAGCCTCCCCACCCAAAGCTAAGCTGGAGGAGGATGGTGCGTCAAGGTTCCGAGCGGAAGCTGTAGAAGATTGGGTGCCCTGTGTTAGCCAGTCAACTATGTCCTCAGAACTTTTCGAGTTCAGGGTACGTGGCCTCTGAACACTGGGCATTATTCTAGGGTCAAAGGGAATCACAGCACCACGACGGCCCCTGCGGGGTGGCCTGCCTCTGCCTGTCATTTTTTTTTCGATTAGTGGTACTATGCGTGCAAGCTACTGTGACAACAGATATGAGTGGCACTGTGCAGTGGCAGAAGTTGGCAGAGTAGACGCTGTAGGCCTGACACACGCTTGCAGACAACTAACTGCTATTCAATCTATTACAGTCAAAAAATTTTTTTTTAAATGTACACTACTGTTACACCAGATATGACTTTCACTGGTGTGACACTGTGCCCTGGCAGGCCCTGAAACGCACACGCGTGAAGGAAACTGACTGCTATTATATTACAGCCAAAAAAGTTTTGTTTTTTTTAAATGCAAGCTATTGGGACACCCAGAGGCGGCTCTAGACTTTATGAGGCCTTAGGCGAAAATCAAACATGAGGCCCCACTAACAAAAAAGTGTCACATGGGGGGCGTGGCCTGACCGGGAATGGAGTGAGACGCATCTCCCTGCAGCTCCTAGGCCCCAGCTCACTATCGCACCGATAAACGAGCACGAATAGACCCGAGATGGGTAAGACAAAGAGGCTACTCACCCCTGGCCCCTCACAAACGGGCTCACCGAGCCGCACAGCGGGTCCCATGGACGGGTACCTCGGAACGCCGCGAGACATGCGGGCGCACCAGGCCGCGGCCAAAATGGCGCCTCCCTCACCAGACGCCAGCAGCTCAGACAGCCCAGCAACAGGCCCAGCCAGAGAGGAGTCACTGACCCAAATTGCAGCAGACCTGGCCACAATATCTGCAAACATGATGTCCAAGGCAGATAAGACCGACCTGCTGGCTGAAATTAGGGCAGTAATCAGAGAGGAGGTCATGGAGGTGAGGAGAGACCTGACAGCACTGGAACGCAGGGTGGAGGAACTAGAGGCAGAACGTGCCCAAATAATACAACACCGCCAAGCCACAGACACAGCCACTACTAGACAAGGCAATGTCCTGCTGGAGTTAAGAAGGAATCTGGAAGATTTGAACAACCGCGGACGGAGGAACAACATTCGCGTCAGGGGACTCCCTGAAACAGCAGGGGAAGCACTACCAGAGCTCCTGCTGGGTCTGTTCACACACATACAGGGCCCCTGCAGACTTTGGAATAGAACGTGCACACAGAGCCCTGCGCCCCGTGTCCGCTGAGGGACCGCCTAGAGACGTAATCTGCTACCTGCTCTCCTACTCGTTAAATCATGAGGGAAGCAAGAAACCAACAGAACCTCACCTACATGGACGCCCAGATTTCCCTATATCAGGATCTCTCAGTACTCACCCTGGAAGCGAGAAGGGCACTGAGACCGCTAACCACCCTGCTTAGAGAACGGCGGATACAATACAAATGGGGATTCCCCTTTAGCTTACAGGCAAAGGTGAGCAACATATGGCATATCATACGCTGGCTAGCTGACGTGCCACGCTTCCTCCGAGCCGCGAACCTCCCAGCGGTGGCAGTCCCAAATTGGGTCCTGGAGAGACAGCCGCAACGCCCAAACGCTCCAAATATCAGGCCGGGTACGGGCCTTACAGGAACTGGGTTCCGCAGAGGTGGCCCGGATAGCCATGAAGAATAGCAGATTCAAGAGCCCTAGGGGGCAGCGATCGGCGCACCCACCGACGGAGAAATACCCCAGTTTTCACACCCCCATTCAACCCCAGAAACCACGCCGCAGTGAGACGGACCACCGGACCGCTCCCCCAAGGTTGATGCGAAGAAACAACCTCCGTAAGCAGAAGCTGACACAACGCTGGGTATGTACTTACACCCCTACCCTGGGCCCGTAGCAGTTACGCACAAGTCAGAGTGGCAGGGACTTGAGACTATGGAGGGCCACATATTTCTTGGGGTGGTGGGATTTATGGGGATCGGGTACCACCCGGGGACGATGATGACACGGAGGGGATCCCCCCCAGATTTATACAGACTCGGGCTCTGGCCCATAGAATCCCCCCTTTTGGGTGGTTGGGGTAGAGGGGAGGCATTGGCGGACTCCAACTACTTGAATGGCACCCCAGGATAAAGTCTGGACAGTCCCATGATGACCCAGAGGGCCCCGAGACCCAAGCTCCGCCCATCCCCAGAAGGGACTAGCAAGCCAACAGGCAGGAGAGGACTCCACTTCCCCCAGCTGGAATAGGGAGCAGAGGAGGGGGGTATGGTTCCTTGGGAGGGGGGAGCGGGGAACGCCAGAGGCGGTGGTCTGGTCTTTACAGTTGTACTTGTTATTGTTATTGAATAAGTTCACATGCTTTATACCACTCCTAGGGGGGCACACACCTACACAAGGGGGCGGGTAACACGCCTGAACCCACGAAGCCAAGGGGGCTAGGCCGGGGCGGGTACACCCTGGGAGGCCGGACCCGTTAGGTAACTACAGGGCCCGATTACCGACTAGACACGCAATACTCAGACCCTCAAGAACAGAGAGGAAAAGGGATAATGGGAGGGGGTACCCTCGTACTACTTCACCATACCCACAGGGAAAATTCCAATTAAACAAATACAGTGGGCTGGGTGCCGTGAGAGCAGTGTGATCCAGACGACGGTTCACCCAAGAACGGACGACCCACGTACCTCACGTGACAGACTCACACTGTACAAACCCTCGGGGGCTACTCTGGTGACATACCCCGAAGGGAATAGACACTGGGAAGCGACTGACCCCGAGGCGAGTCGTAGTCACCTAGATCCCGACCCACTAACCTGCCCTGACTTTGACTGGACTACCCTACTTCCCCCCCCCCCGAACCTTACCCCGTGATACTCTGACTACCCATACCCCTTCCCACGCACAGCTAGGGATGGGCACTAACTATGTGCCGGCACCGCTTAACCTGTGGTCGAACAACGTTAGAGGTCTAAACGTACCCGAGAAGCGGTCTCAGCTACTCAGTACTCTCTGGGCGGAACGCATCTCGGTGGCGTTTTTGCAGGAAACGCATCTTAAAGGAGTGGAGGCCCCCACCCTGAAAAACAGAAGGTTCCCCACAGGTTATTACTCCAACCATGCCGACCAAAAAAAAGCGGGGGTGGCGATCCTCTTTTCATATACTGTCCCGTTCGTATGCACAGAGCAACGAATAGATCCAGGCGGTAGATACTTATTCATTAAAGGAACCATAGCACAACAGCCCTACACATTCGCATGCCTCTATACACCGAACCGTAACCAACATGTCTTCCTAAATAAAACACTCACTTTGCTCAACAAGTTCAGAGAGGGCTTACTAATTATGGCAGGAGATCTTAACACTCCGTTAGATGCCAGATTAGACACCTCAAGGGGAGAAAGCTCAATACCAGGTCATTGCATACGCGCAGTCGGGAGAGCTCTGACAAGGAGTGGACTAGTGGATTGCTGGAGGGCGGCGCATCCTGATGGCAGGGACTATTCCTATTTCTCAGCTGTACACCAGAGATACAGTCGGATTGACTATATCTTTATGGCACAGGAAGCCCTGACACTACTCCGCAAGGCTAGCATAGGCCTGATTGCGGAGTCCGATCATGCCCCGGTCTCAGCCCAGATCCAATCCCCACTACACAAACCAGCGGAAAGGCACTGGAAGCTAAATGAGAATATGCTGCTTAACCTGGGTGACACTGACCCGGTTAGGCAAACTCTAACACAATACTTCGACACTAACACAACCCCCGATGTCTCGCCCTTGACGGTATGGGAAGCACATAAGTGTGTAGTACGGGGACACTATATTAAGGTCTGTACACAACGGAAGAAGGAACATACACGAAAGCTGATAACATTAAACACTCAAATAGCCAACCTAGAGCAAGCTCATAAACAAAATCAGGACGAAGACACGTTCCTCCATCTAACAGCGCTCCGGAGACAGAGAAGGGACATATTAGCTCAGGGTCTCCTACGCACCCTTAGAAAATCGGCCCGGTTCTTTTTTGAGCACTCAGACAAAAGTGGCAGACTGCTAGCCCGCCAGCTCCGTGACCGTCGGATGGCGAGCCACATACACAAAATTAAGCCCAGTGACAAAGCTGAAACCCGAATGCCGGATGGAATTCAGCGTGCGTTCGTAGACTACTACACGGACCTATACAATATCCCCCAACCTAACACTGACGCTGCCCGCGCACGACAGACCCGCCAAATTACAGAATTCCTGGAACAAAATATAGATAACAAGCTGACCGCGGAAATGCGGGACGACCTAGACCAACCCCTCACCATGGAGGAGCTGGCGGCAGCCCTAAAAATCTCCAAATCCCATAAGGCCCCTGGACCTGACGGACTGCCCCTGATGTACTTACGTACGTTCAGGGACATCTTATTACCAAATCTCTTACTGGGCCTCAACTCCATACTGGAGGGGGGGCGCTTTCCCCCAGACACGTTAGCAGCCATAGTTACTGTAATACCAAAAGAGGGCAAGGACCCGTCGAATTGCGCGAGCTACCGCCCCATATCGCTACTAAACGCAGACCTGAAACTATTCGCAAAAGCCATTGCCCTGAGAGTCGCAAAACACCTCCCCCACTTGGTACATTCGGATCAAGTGGGGTTTATCCCGGGTAGGGAAGGGAGAGACAACACGATTAAGGCCTTGAACATCCTACACATAGCACGAGTGCGCCGTAGAGAACTTCTACTACTTTCCACCGATGCCGAAAAGGCTTTTGACAGGGTGAGCTGGGCGTATCTGAGGAGTACCCTTACACACATGGTATTCGGCCCCAACATGCTGGCCTGGGTGCTCTCACTGTACACGTGCCCCACTGCGAGGATCCGCATTAACGGGGCACTTTCAGCCCCTTTCCCTATCAGGAATGGCACCCGCCAGGGATGCCCGCTCTCCCCCCTCCTGTTTGCCCTCTCCCTGGAACCATTTCTGGGGGCGGTCAGACGGAATGGGGGAATCTCTGGATTTGACCTTGGTCGTCACGAATACCGGGTAGCCGCATATGCAGACGATATGCTGTTCTTTCTTACACAGCCGTTGATCTCGCTGCCCAACCTCCTAGCATCTTTCCGAGAGTTTGGGGCACTCTCTAATCTTAAACTTAATACGGATAAGTCCGAGGCTCTCCATCTCCCACCCCCTACAGGCCCCCCAACACACCTTCACACCCAATACAAGTTTAAATGGTGCGAAACTAAATTAAAATATTTGGGCATATGGCTGACCAAAGACCCGTCCCAATTATACCACCATAACTATCTCCCCCTCCTACTCTCACTTCAGACAGACCTTAAGAAATGGACCCCATATTACATCTCCTGGTTCGGACGTATCAATGCGATTAAAATGAACGTGTTACCCAGGATACTCTACCTATTCCAAACAGTGCCAATTACTCTCCCCAGAGCCTTTTTTAGCTCTATGACGACTGCCATCCGCAGATTCGTCTGGAACTCTCGCCCAACCCGAATAAAAAAATCAACCCTGGAACTACCAAAACTGATGGGAGGCACGGGACTGCCCTCCATAGAGACATATTACCGCGCCGCTCACCTGCACAGACTGACGGACTGGCACGCACAACACCCATTAAAACAATGGGTGACCATTGAGCTAGAACAAACCGATAGAAAAATACCCTCTAGGCTTTGGCTACATACAGCCACATACACTGACCTGCACACCGAGAACCCACTAATTGACGCAACGCTCCGAGTGTGGATAGCTATACGCTACCGACTGCAACTCACAAGTTCTCCTAGCCCCTTGACACCCATCACACATAACCCAGACCTGGCCGATGCTTTAACCCCACAAGACCTAGCCGGCCTCCAGCAGGCAGACTGGATGTACCTGCACCAATGGCTCGACACTCAGGGACTTAAACCACTCAGAAACCTCTGCCCAGATAGACCACCGACGATACTCGAACAATTCAGATACCACCAAGTTAAGACGTACTTCAAGTCCTTACATGGTCGAGGACACCTGACTAGACCCCTCACCAGCTTTGAACGCCTGTGCGTACACCGAACACACGTACACAGAGGTATCTCCACTATACATACCATACTCAAGACCCAAACTAACGAAGATGTGGTGCTCAAATTTAAAGATCATTGGGAGAGAGACTCGGGGGAAGTCCTTACCGTGCAAGACTGGGACAAGATTTACACTCTCACACACAAATGCTCTATCAGCTCCAAGTACCAGGAGCTGAACTACAAAATTTTAACACGCTGGTACAGAACCCCTGACGTACTCAATCGCATGAACGTAGGTGCCCCGGACACCTGCTGGAGATGCGGCTTGCATACTGGCACGTACTTCCACATCTGGTGGCAGTGCCCCGAGATTACCACATTCTGGGAGAGGATCAGGGTAGAGATAAACAAAATCACAGATGCGGAGCTAACCCTAGAACCCCTAACGATGCTATTACACCACACCCCCACACCCGTTAAGACATATAAGAAATCCCTCTTGCTGCCACTACTCAACGCGGCAAAGGCCCTTATCCCAGTGATGTGGAAACAGAGGGGGGCGCCTACCCTCCAGCAATGGGTGACAAGGGTGGAAGAAATCCACTCAATGGAGTCCTTAACTGCAGACCTACACGGTAGACAGGAGCAATGTGCACTGACCTGGTACCCTTGGGAAACATACCTAGCCAACAGATTAGCAAACCCAAACACGGCCCCCCAGAGGCCCGCAGTTGACCGACTCATATAGAGCTAAGCCACCCGGCTACCCCTCCCTCCAAGGTCCCCTACCTCCTGACCCTTTCCCGAGACTGGACATTGGACAGAACCCCAACGACCGACTCTGACGAGCTCGTAAATGGGGCTTTCAATACACACACCCACTGTAATCACAGGTGTAAAACACACAGGAAACCGAGACCCAACCTAGAGCTGATACGGGCATGAAAATATCCCCTCCTGGCCTCCTAGACTGATACCCAGAGTATCCTCCCGTATGACAAACTATACCGATAGGCATACAAAAATATACACTAGCAACTGCCAACCCACAATAGTGGGGAACTTAACCAAAACCATCACACTTTGCTCTCAACCAGGCGACAAGATGGCCTTGAATGTTAATAAGTGCTGAGTAGTCTGGGGAGGAGTTAAGGCACTAAAAATATCTTTTCTCGCTAGCGTGGCCCTATACCATGCCCAACAATATATATATATATACATGTCAAGCGACAAAAAGGCTCCTGACACTATTGGTATGAAACGTGAAATGAGAAATGTAGCGTGTCAGAAAACTTACCCCCCACAGCACCCAGACTAGACACCGATTCATACCCTACACGTTAAGCGCACACCATAGGTGCAATAAACTGCGCATTGTAGGCTAGTGGGGATGCGAGACTAGAAACTTGACCTAAAATAATCCTACCTAATGCATGCGATGGAAACTATAGAAATATTGTCTGAGAAAACTGTTTTGAGAATGCTAAAACAATGGTGACGAATGTTGTTAAGCTATTCAGAACACTGATGTTAAAATTGACGTTATACCGTTACTACATCTTTCCTTGAAAAAATGATAAAACTTGAAAATAAAGATTGTCAAAAAAAACAAAAAAAAAACAATATGAATTCATATTTTTTTGTATCTATTGCACTCAAACCAAAAATAATAAAGCGAGCAAACGAGAGCTATATGGAGGAACTGGCCCATTCCCTATACCAGGCCTAGACAACCTTTGGCACTTGATTTGTTTTGAACTACACCTTCCATAACGCTTTGCCAGCATTATAGGTGTAAGAGCATTATAGGGGATGTAGTCTACAACATCTGGAGTGCCGAAGGTTACCTACTCCTGCCCTATACACAATAAAGATAATTAGACAATTCCTCTGTATCTTTCTGGTTTTGGCAGTAAGTATCAGAATGATATTAGAATGTAAGTGTGCATGGTGAAGTCACTCACCACCCATCCAGTTATTCTGACAGTGTTTTGTTTTATATGGTTGCACATAAAGTTTTAATGGAATCCCCTAACCAAAAACTATAGTTGCATCGCTCTGGTACTAAAATATATTCCTGCATGCCAGAGAATGGATTAATGAAGAGAGGTACAAAATGGACAGCATTTTTGCCTAATTATAAATGGCAGAAAAATGTGCGTGGGTGTCTACTTGTACACATTCTCCACACACAGACTTACAAAGTAGCTGTTGTTGAGGACATGGGTGGGAAAGGCCATTCTTCTCTGGCAGATTAAAAGGACACTATAGTCACCAAAACAGTTTTAGCGTGATGAAGCAGTGTATAGATCGTGCAACTGTATGACCTCACTGCTCAATTCTCTGTCATTTAGGAGTTCGATCATTTTTTTTACTGCCCTAGGCACACCTCCCTGCATTTGACTTGCACAGCCTTCCTAAACACTTCCTGTAAATAGTCATCTAATGTTTACACTTCCATTATTGCAAATTCTGTTTAATTTAGAATTTCTTGTGTCCTGCTCTGTTCAATGTTGCTAGATCTTGCAGGAGCCCCCTGTATGTAATTTAAAGTTCAATTTACAGAGCAGCAGATAAAACATTTTAAAGTAAGTTACATCTAATCAAAAATTAAACCATTGTGTTTTCATGTAGGCTATGTCAGTCCCAGCAAGGTGAGGTGTGACTAGGGCTGCATAAACAGAAACAAAGGTGATTTAACTCTTAACTGGCAGTGAATTGAGCTTGATCATTCAGAGGCATGATCTATACTCCAAAACTGCTTCATTAAGCCAAAATAGTTTTGTTGACTTTATTATCCATTCAAATATGATGAACCTACTACATGACCGATGGTGGTGATCTATATCATCCAGATGACCACCAAAAATGGCCTACTATACTATTTTTGGTGGTAATCTGGATGATGCAAGGAATGTAAAAAAGAGCTCCTGATGGAGTTATGTAAAAATTATAGGGTTATTATGGGAGAATGTTCTGAAAGAGAAGCAATTGGCAGGAACAATTACTGGTTTCCATTATAGCTACTATACTTTAAGAACTTTGCCAACTCCTCTTTTATTAGTTTGTCAAATTTTGTATTGTTTCAGATGCATTGTACCTTTGTCTTTTTACATTTACTGATTTTACCCATGTACATCATTGCAGAATTAGATGACCATTTATAAATAAAGTGTAATAAAATAACAGCTATCTATTAGGAAATGTTAGGTGGCTGCCCTGTGCTCAGTAAGGTCCTACTGCATAGCGGTCATGGAATGTGGTGTTAATCAAATCCGTTGGCACAATGTGTTGAAGTTAACTTATTGAAGTGGGTTGGCGGAAATCTTCAACAAATAGTGCCGACTGATTTGACCAGCACCATGTGTGCTAGTTAAAGATGTGACACTGCCCCAAGTCAGGGAACCTCTCACCCCTTCTGTTAGTGATATAAGTGAAAGGTCAGTGGCAGGTGCAAGTAGGAATTGTTAAAGGGATCCTATAGTGCCAGGAAAACAAAGCAGTTTTTCTGGCACTATGGGGTTAATAGGTCCCCCCTGCTTGGGGGGCTCCCTCCCGTGGGGCGGAAGGGGTTAAAACCCCTTTAGCCTCTTACCTGAATCCAGCGCCAGTGTCCCTCTGCACTAGGTCAGGCTTTGCCCATGCTTCTCCCCCGCCGATGTCCTATGGGGATAATCTGATGCTGGAGGTCAGTGAGGACGTCCATCGTCAGATAACCGACCAAAAGTCTGTTAGGATTCTGGAAGCCCTCTAGTGGCTGTTTGGTAGCGATCCACCGGCTAAGCAATGTTTTACATTGCAGCAATAAGTGCAAAAGGGTCAGGGCACCCAGACTACTTCAGTTAGCTGAAGTGGTCTTGGTGCCTACAGTGTTCCTTACAGAGAATTAGACACTTTAGGATGAAATACCAAGTGGGGAAAATGGCCAAGTCAAAAACATTTTTTCTTTAGTTTGTCTGTCATGGCCTATAATTTGCAATACACAAATCTGTTCCCTACAATAAATCTTTTTAGTGAACAACTAAACCCCAAATTGTGGTGAATTGTAAGCTGAATTGCAAAATGTATGCAGTAATAGCTGATCTGGAATCCTTGTCCAACTCCTCTTGGCTAGCTTAAAGGAACACTCCAAGAACCATAAATACTACATCCTACTGAAGAAGAACACTGTATATGGCACAGGTGCTAACGGACTGAGGTAAGTTGTCAGACCGTACTAACATGGTTTGACTGCTTACCTTGGGATGACACCTGCATGTTGTAGTGATTATGGTGATTGGAGTGTTACTTTAATCGAATCAAATTCATTATTTAGGAATTACTGTTCTCTTTCACATGGCAGGAAAGAAAATGAACGTATACAGAAACATTTACAGATCTGCTTGTTGCTTACTAATGAATAGTGTGGATTACTATGGATTGTGGATCTAGAGTTGCGCTGTTATGGAGCCAGCTCCTCCTCATGTGTACCCATTGTCACAGGTGCAGAACATTTTCAAAGTAGTTTAAGCAGCGATTTTAATTGCAGCCCTTCACAGAAGCAGAGCAGGAAGATGTAATAATTAGAGTTGTCGCTATGTACTCTCTCCCATAGTGCTTACATTAGCCTTTTGCTGAAAACCTATTTATAACTCCTTAGACAATTGGTACCCATCATTGTGGTTTTCTGCAATAAATCAAGAAGATTATGGAATATAAATTAAAGTGTGTTTGTTTTAGAGTAAGATAACAAATGTATGCAATATTAATTTTTTTTTTCTTAATGACATAAATTAGAACAAATCGGGAACAGAACAAAATGTATTAGTTGGCTGTTTTAATTGTATCAGCTTGTTTCCGTACATGCTAATTCTAACTGCAATTACATTAGAAAACAATCTATATTGTATAAAGAAAGATTTTTGTATGTTTGAAGAACAATTTTTTTTTTGTTATTGTGTCTACTTGCTTTGAATCAGTAAGTATGTATCCACTATGGCTGATGACACCCCAGGTGTTTATGGAACTCCCATGATTCTCTCCTTGCCGAATGCTTATTCTGGTATTCATGTTTGTGGACTTTAAGAGGGGGGATTGACTCATCCTCATGCTCATGTTAAATCCAATCATAAGCTGAAGTTCAATAGAAATAAGCAGGCTGATTGATGCTCAGTTTAAATTCCTGGCATATGCCTAATGTTCAGTGGTTTTGCCAATGTGAATTCTTGTTAAGGGCACTCGTGGAATCAGAGGCAGTGACAAGGCCCAGCCGTCCAAGCGTCTGAGTGACACTGAAGCATTTAATTTGCATTTATCTTGTGCCCACTCGGTTTCATACTGACACTTTGAATGCAGTATGCAGTATTGCTCTATGAAAATATGCCGGTGAATAGAAGCCGTGCAGTTCTGACATCAATCAACAGGGCGCAGTCTTTGAATTTTTTTTTTTTTTGCAGAATGTTTAAGATGACTGCATGACAATGCCACTACTGTTTGCAGAATTCACTTTATCCTTGGGAGTAGAGCTCTATCCTAAGAGAACTTTATATTAATTTTAAATCATACATAATGTTTTGGCAGTTCCAAAAGGGGAATTGTGATGCATAAGATAAGAATGATTTGATTATCATATTTGTGTGATTCATATATTATATAAGTTGATGACACATTTTTGTTGGATATATAAAAGGATGTTCACTGTGCCATTACAACTACCGTCCAAAAAGACATTTTGAAGGATTGTTTTAACACGGTTACTGAAAAGAGACAATACTGAAGTTAATGTGGAGTCAACTAACTAAGCAGTGATACGTCATTTGTCCAGATAAATGTT